GTGTGAATAAGTATGAATTATCTTCACAGTGAAAGAGATATTATATGACTTGGTTGAATTACGTAGAAAAATAATGGTATGAATGAGTATGGATATCTTCACAGCGAAAAAAAAACAAAACCTATTTGACTTGTTTGAAGTATATCGCAGCCGGTCGAACACCTCTCTTGCGCTATGAGGAAATACATTTCTGATGTAGATATAGTCGAAGCCGGTCAAAAAATCTATTGTTCTGTGAAGATATTCTTTCTCATTCGTATTTTTTTCCTTGAGTGATATGGTATTGTGCTAATATTGTGAGAATATATAATTATGTGAATGGTGTGGTAATTGAGTTATTGTGGTTATAGTGATTGAATGGTTTTATAATATGATTGTATGATTGGTCAACATAAAAGTGACTGTATTATACAACCTGACATCACATACGATGTATCATTAAAAAATCAATAATCGCATTGCAATAACGATAATAATAGTAATAATAATGATAATAATATCAATGATGGATACATAAAAGTAGCTACTTCAATAATAATGATAATGACAAAAATGATAACGGTGATGATAATAACTATAGTTACCATCATTAGTATTGTTACTATTAATTGCTAATATTTTTTTTTACATTTTTTTTCGTATCATCACTATCATTATTGTCAAAATTATTATTACTCTTATCATTATCTTCATGTTAATCATGATTACCAGTATATTCATAATTATTTTATTATCATTATCATCATTATTATTGTTATTATTAGTAGTAGTAGTATTACCATCATTATCCTCATTATCACTATTATTATTTTTAGTATTGGTATTATTATCTTACTATTATTATTATTATTATTATTATTATTATTATCATTATTATTATTACTTTAAGTATCATCATCATCATTATTATTTTTACTTTTATTATCATTATTATCATTAAAATTAATATTATCATCATTAATATTTTCAGTATTACTATTATTGATAATATCATTATTATCATTATCATTACTACTGTTATAATAATAATGATAATAATAATAGTTATTATTATTATTATTATTATTATTATTATTATTATCATTATTGTTATTATTATTATGATTATTATTATGATTGTTATAATAATAATGATAATAATAATTTAATAATACTACTATCATTATCATCATCATCATTGTTATTATCATTATTATGATTAGTACTATTATTATCAATAATAGAGTTATTAACCTTATCATTATTAATGGTATTATTATCATTATTGCTATTATCATTGTTATCATCGTCGTAGTTATTATCTTTATTATGATTATTACTATTATTCTTAGTGTTATTATCGTTATTATTATCATAATTATCATTAATGTTATCATTATTATTATTACTATTATCATCATTATCGTTATTCTCCTTATTGTTAGTATTATTATTATCATTATTATCAATATCATTATTATTTCTATTATGGTTCTATTATGGTTCTAGTATCATCATTATTATTGTTATTGTTATCATTATCATTATTATTATCATCATTATCATCATTATCATTATAATCAAAATTATTACCATTATTATCAATGAATAATTATCACTCTTATTAATATCATCCTCATCATCGTCATCACCATTTGTTGCTATTTCATATTTTTGTTATTATAAGTAGTAATAGTAATAGTAGTAGTAGCAATAGGAATTGTTGTAATTCACTTTGTAATAATGGTGATGAGAAAAATAACAGTAATGATGGTAAGGATAATAATGATAGCAACATTAATGATAATAATAATAATAATGATAATAATAATAATAATAATAATAATAATAATAATAATGATAATAATAATAATAATAATAATAATAATGATAATAATAATCATAATAATAATAATAATAACAATTATGATAATAATAATAACAATAATAATAATAATAATGATAATAATAATAATAATAACAATAATAATAATGATAATAATAATAATAATAATAATAACAATAATAATAATCATAATAATAATAATAATAATAACAATTATGATAATAATAATAACAATAATAATAATAATAATAATAATAATAATAATAATAATAGTGATAATAATGATAACAACAGTAATAATAATAAATATAAAGAAAATGATAATGATGATAATAACAATGATAATATTAATGATAATGATAAGGATTATAATGTAATAACAGTATTAATAATAATAATAATGGTGATGATAATAATGATGATAATAATAATAATGATAATGATTATAATATAATAATAGTATTAATGATAATAATAATGGTGATAATAATGATGATAATAGTAATAATAATGATAATGATTATAATGACGATAAGAACAGTAATAATAATAATAATGATGATAATGATAATCATAATAATGATAATAATAATGATAATGATAATAATAATAATGGTAATAATAATGATAATGATAATGATAATAACAATAATGATAATAATAATAATAATGATAATGATAATATTAATAATGATAACAATGATAATGATAATAATAACAATAATAATGATAATAATAATGATAATTATAATAATAATATTTATAATGATAATAATAATAGTAATAATAATAATAATAAAAATAATAATAATAATAGTAGTAATATTAAAAATAATGATAATAAAGCCAATTATAATCATTATAAAGATGATGATATTAATAGTAATAATGCTAATTATAATAATAATAATAATATTAATAATAATAGTTATAATAATAATAAAAACAACAATAACAATCAGACTAATAATACAACTAATACGAAAACTTCTACTAATAATGATAATAATGATAATGATGATGATAATAGTAGTAATACTAATAATTGCAAAAATCTATAATATTAATATACTATAATATTAGTTAGTTAGTAATAAGAATAATAATGATAGTAATGATGATAATAGTAATAATAATGATAATGATAAGCATCATTACCATAACAATCATATTGATAATAATGCTAATAATAATAATGATAACAATAATAATAATAGTGAATAGTAATAATAATAACAATAGTAACAGTAATGATATCAACTGAATGAACTCTTTGATGATAAAAAATATAGTGAAAATCATAACAGCAGCAACGACAACATTAGCAATAATTACAATGATAGATATTAATAGTTGAGACGATATTAATTGAGAAAAATTTACAGCGTTATTATCAAAAATATTGGCGTTGACGATGGTGACACAGAAACGGCGATAATTATGATGGTAGATGATATAAAGGGAAAAAGGAAAGAAAAAGAAGAAGAAAACAAAGGAAAAAAGAAAAGAAAAAGAAAATTAAAAAGAAGAAGAAGACGAAGAAGAAGAAGAAAAGAAGACGAGGAAGAAGAAGAAGAAAAAAAGAAAACGAAGAAAAAGAAGAAGACGAAGAAGAAGAAGAAGACGAAGAAGAAGAAGAAGAAGACGAAAAAGGAGAAGACGAAGAAGAAGAAGAAGACGAAAAAGAAGACGAAGAAGAAGAAGAAGACGAAGAAGAAGAAGAAGAAAAAGACGAAAAAGGAGAAGACGAAGAAGAATAAGACGAAAAAGAAGAAGAAGAAGAAAAAGATGACGACGACGAAGAAGAAAAAGAAAAGGAAGACGACGAAGAAGAAGAAGAAAAGGAAGACGACGAAGAAGAAGAAATACGCGAGTCCAATATTGGCGCATAATCAAACCCACCTCCAGAGTCTTGTTGTTGCAAAGTGGAAGGTTCGTAAAATTGGACTGGTTGCAGAGGATGTAATTGGGCAAGAAATCCAGGAAGGTATCGATCCCTGTATTATCATTCACCACATCTTCCATCCCGGCCTCCCCGTTGGCCTCCATCTCGAAGTCCATCTCGTCTGCCTCACTCATCTTGGCGCTGCTTGAGTCTGATGCTGGGAAGTGCGTGGCGGAGGCTGTGCTCGCTGCTCTCTCGTTTCGTTATCTGTTTGTCTATTTTCTATGTGTGTATATATTTATTTTTTTTCTTTTTTTCTATCGGTTTGTTTTGTTTTGTATTTTTTTCTTTCTTTCTGTGTGTTTTTTTCTTGCTTTTTTTTTTAGAGTTTGGTTTATTGTCTTACTTTTGTTTTCGTTTTTGGTTGTTTATTTTTTTTCGAGGGGGAAGGAGGTCTTTTGTTTTTGTTTTTTTTGTTTTGGCTCCTTTTCTGTTTTTTGCATGCGTGAGAATCCGTATGGTTAAGTGAGGCTCAAAGCATTTTTTTCTCTTCTCTTTCAAACACACAAACAAACTAATGGTGTCTTGGATGAACTAAAAGTGAAAACAGCCGTCTGTTGTTTCTGTACATGTTATTATTGCAAGGAAGGGATGCCAACCAAAACCAGTGCCTAAGAAATGACCATTGATCTAATTGAAAACAAGGTAAGTATATATAAAAACAGAAAATTAAGAAATAAGAAAGAAAAAGATATCATAGACACCAGAGCACTTAAAGAAAAGAAAAAACGCACTCCCGATTCCCTTGCGTCGTGTCTCTTGTACAACGTAAAGATCGACAAAGAAATATCAAAAGATTGTTTTCTTCCTTTTGGTCTTCAAGTAGTATTTTCATGAGCCATTATAACCACAGAGAAACTGGGATTGGCGATACGGTATTCATGAGGATTTTTTTTCTTCTTCTTGGGCACCATCGACATATAGTGTTCAAAGTATTTATGTTTCAGGAAATATCACAGCCGATCACAGATATTATGCCTCCATGCACCCACTCCTTCCGTTAGACCAGTGAACTGTCCATCCACCAAATCAGAAACGAAGAAAACACAAATGCAAGGTTTCTAAAGCAAAACATATTTCTGTACATTGTCCAAAAGGAAACCATATGTTACGTTACACACACCACATAAAGATTATTTTGACTAGACTGCTGTTTTGAGGCAAAATCAGGTGCTTGATTGCGTGTCTGAAGGCAGGTAGGTGAGTGTCTCCCTTGCTGAAGGCCAGAAC